GCGGCTCCGGAGCAGCACCGCCAACAGCTGCGACCCGGCCCTGCGGCCCATCATACGCCGCCGGGCCAGGTCTTTGCCCACGTCACCCGAGAGAAGGAAGCAAGCGGGAGTGCAGCGCCGAGTCGCGGCATGCGAGGGTCGCGCGAACCGGGTGAGGTTTGCTGATGCTTTGGGCTTGGAGCTGACCGAAGTGAAAGTCTTCCAGACTGGAGAGGATCCGTCAATCCCCTTGCACGTCCTCTCCCGGCTCTCCATAAACTCAGACCTCTGGGGCAGCTGCTTGGACCTGGAGTTCACCATGCAGTACTTGGTGCCTGACTTCCAGCAGCCTGCAGACTGCATGGACTTCTCTGCCCGGCTTCGGGAGCAGCAGGTGTGTCTTGAACGAGTGACCACTTCAGATTTTGGGCTCAGTGGCACCATTCAAGTTTGTAATATTGCTTTTGAGAAGCAGGTATCTGTGCGATACACCTTCAATCAGTGGAAAAGCCTCCATGAAGTGCGTGCTCACTGGCATAATAGCATCCCTGAGAAAAATGGGCAGGCTCAGGTGGATGTTTTCACTTTTTTTCTCCCTGTACCTTCTTTCCTTCTTCAGCTGTGCTCTGTAGTCCAATTTGCAGCAAGATACCAAGTCAACGGGCAGGAGTATTGGGATAACAACGGAGGCAAAAACTACAGTTTTACCTGCCGGAATTATCCCCTTAAAATGCCTAGAGAATGTGAGGAGAGCTGGATCCACTTCATCTAAGCAAAAGAAATGGGATGCAGAGCAGCTTTTGAATAGCCTGTTTTCATCCCTCGCGCTGCTCCCACAGCCTCCAAACTTCTTTTCGAAACCTGCCAAAACTGGCCAGTGTTTCAGAACAGGGAAGCAGCCACGGATGTGTACAAACTGTTCTAAGTCTTTTGGAAAGTGTAAAGGGCCAAAACGTGTTCTGAGAGGCATCCGTTGAAAGCCCATGGGATTTCTTGTAGTGTGTGAATTGGTGCAGAATGGCTCAAAGGGAAACTGTCAGACTAAATATCCAAAAGCAAAGAAAGAAACTTTTATGTTGTTAGTATTCTGGACTGCATAAAGTGTTTGTAACCAGTCCATTTTACCATTTTCTGCTGTCTCTCTTTTTTTTTTTTATGGAGAGTATGGCTTTACTGTTTTTATTTCTATTTTTGTTTATATTATCTAACCAAGCCTCGGCACTATTCCAGTTTAGCAAACTTCGGATGGCAGCCACTGTAGGGAGGTGTTTGTATTTATACAAGTTTGGTTTTCATTGTTTTTGTTTTTATGTTTTAGCCACGTTAAGTGTTTCTATTAATTACATTTTTCAGTAAACCAATTATTATGATCTAAAACAACATGAAAATCTTCCAGCTGCTACTCTGTTTCCCTTTAAAAACAAAATTTTTAACCATGTGCCTTTTCTCATCTCCTGTGTTTGCTATGGGCAATGGGAGTGATTTGAGCCTATATAAGATTGACTATATGGAAGCTCTTATCCTGCAAATGGGAGATGTTTCTCTAGGGAAATTCAATTGTCCTTTCCTTGTGCAACTGTTTTTATAAAGGGAAGCTAGTGCGATTTTGCACTTGTGTTGCAGCTGCGCTTGAAGATCTCAAAGCACTACATGAATGTTAGTCATCTTACTCCCATACTGGAAACTTCAAATTTGCAAATCAAGACATGGGTATGAGAGACAGTGAGCAGTGGGCTTATCAGAGAGCCTTCAAACACACTGCTAGATCCCTGAAGCCCTGCTCCCCACCGTCCCAGTATTACTGTGGTTGCACTTTCAAGTTCTCTAATCAATTAGAGATTAAGTGATTAAAAACTAATTCAAATCCGAGAGTCTCCTATGGACTCGAAATGGGATCTTCAAAGGAAAATGATGATTTTACTTGTAAATTGGTGCTTACAGGGATGCACAAACAGAATTTTGCAGCCTTGGGAGCAGAATAACACAGAACAGTGTGTCCCGTGCAAAGCTTATTGCTATGCAGCGTTCCAGTTGAGGAAATCGAGAAGGGAAAAAGAAGTCTATGAATGTTTTAATGCATAATTTTATCCACATGCAAAGTTTAGTTTTATAAGTATAGCATGAATTTTCAAAACAGGTTGGCTGTGTATATTAGAAGAGCTGCTTTTCAGAAGGAATATACTATAAATATCATGCCACATATTCAGACATGTTATCAAGATCGCAAGCAACATACAGCCAAGTATATATTAGTCCGTAAAGTCCACTGAGTCATTTTTGGAACTGCAGAAACCCTAAGAAGCATCATATGTTTGATAACGTTATCACTTAGCTGTGATAGTCATTTAACAAGGATTTCAAGTGAGCTAGTTGCAATAATCTGGCTTTCAGAGCCTGGAATCGTGAGCCTGCTGAGTCTGTGAGTTGTTCAGCATTTCTTGAAAGTGCTGAGGAAACTTGGTTCTGTTTGAAACAATTGAGAATTGGCTGTGTTGTCATGCTGCAGGTTAGAACTAACACTCTGCCAATTAATTTGGACTTCCCTTGGACTTTTTGTTCTTTACTTTTTGAATTGCAACATGTTTATAGTTTACTTCATACCTGCTGTTCAATGTAGACAGCTCTGAAATGAATTTCAAAACAAAATTCTTGAAGTGGAAATGTATTCCATGTATTAGAGTAGTTAGTCTTCTAGGGTAATTAAATGTGTCCTTTTTTCCCTGTCATCTCAGTAGGTGAGAGAGATTCTCAAAAAAAAATTTGATTAAAATTTTTGAAATTTGTATTTTTCATACTCTAATTTGAATGGTCATTTCTGTTAGCAACTGCTGTTACTGGAGTGGCTGGTCATATGCTTTTTTGTTTTCTAGACTGTGTGTAGCATCCAAAAAACACAGAGCTGAACTATCTAATTTACCTAGTATTCCATATAGCAGCAGAAATGCAAGATATTTTTGAATGTCTTATTTTCAGCCGTACTGGGCATTTATCAGTGCTTGCATTCAGTTTGAGTTATAAGTACTTTGTGCTTCTGAAAGTTACGTTCTGATTATTCGACTTACAAACCTACCATTAGTAACAACAGGTTTTACTGCTTATCTACATAGCATTCAGTTACATGTGTGTCAGTGGTTATCTACTACTAGGGAATGGTAAAAATGGTCATTTCTTTGTTAGTGATTAGTCCGTTTAAGAGACAGTGAATGCCGCTGATACTTTAGTTTTGTATTGGAGCACTCTGAGGCTGTAAGTTTAGGCTAGTGGTTTGGAAGGAGTAACGCAACTATTTTGTCAGGCTATTCTGTAACCATTAGGCTTAAGGCTGGTAGAGCACTCTGAGATCATTGGGATGAAGTGAGATTGCCTGCTACCCAGATGGAAGGACTGCGGCAGACTTTCGATCCACCTGCATTATTTTCTGCATCTGGATCACAGGAATTACCGTTACCAATCTGGGAACACACATAGATGGCACGTGGGCTGAACAAAGGCTCTGTTTTCAAGTGTTGTTCCCCCTCTTCTCCAGTGACCATATTTTCTTCCATCTCCCAGAACACTCAACTGCCTGCCAGCACACCATCAGAAATCTGTTTCTGAGACACGTATTGAGCTGGTTTACCAGGGATGTTGCTGGAACGCAACACAATACTTGCCTTCTTAGTAGAAATACCCTGTGGCCATCTGGGAGAGAATCATTCGTGTGCTAGGTCAATCTCACTGATACGGCAGTGTGAGGAAGAGGGCAGAACTGAACAGCTCAGTGATGTGAGTTCGGTTTGTATCGTCTTCCTTCTGCCACCTCTCAGAGTATTTGCACGTGCAAAATCTTGAGTAGTAACTTATTATTCCCAGATTGCCTTTTATCTCTGCTTGTCTTGCACTTTTGGAGAAGAATTGAAAGTAGCTGTTACTGAATCAGTCGTTTGCATTGTTGACTCTGAGTTAAGCAGGCCTGACTATAATAGAACTGGGAGTAACTGCTAGACTAATTCAGCAGAGGAAAAAGTTTTTATTTAAGGTGCTCCTAAATTGTTAATATTCCCACATTAGAACTGACTCCTGTCACATGAAGGACAAAAGTTGCACTCATTGTTTTCCCCTCACACTCAACAGTGAAAATCAAAAGGATTCTGATAAGAAGATAGTAAACCATGAAGTAGTAGGTACCTATCATGCTGGTAAACTTATGACCACCATTATAAATTCTCAGGGCAACTTGACTTCTTGCACTGTGTTCAAACTGGGCACTTTTCTTATAAATAGGATTTTGTAATAGTTAATCCTTCACAGAGGTTACAGTCATATAATGCACTTTAAAAAAATGTATTTATTATAGTCATACAATAGACAAATATGTAGTAGTACGCATTTCCAGGGGTCTTTCAAGCATGTTTTTTGAAAAAAAAAAAAGTCCATAAATGAGAAGGAGTTGTCTTTTCTGATTAAATGTTTTATCCAGAATAAAATACATGATGCAATATGTCAATGAAGCACATATTCTAGGCAAAAGGTCATTTCGTTTTAGTGGAGAGTTGTAAAATTGTGAAGTGCTTAATTCATTTAAAAGAATAATAAATTTATTGCTATTTTAATACAAGATATTACTCAAAAAGTGTTGTACTGGTTTTGTTGTCTTTGCTCAGTGACACTTTTGTTAGACAGTACCCTCGTTGGGCAACTTGGTGCTGAGTTATTAGTTACTGAATAACACATGCAGGTTAGAAAATAAGGAGGGTGGGTTCAATAATTACTGATATGTAAGTATATAAATAAGACCAGCACTTAAAAATACAGTGATTAGTCTGTATAATCACAAAAATGACCATGCTACTGCTGCTTATTTGGAATTTGCTGTCATTTCTGTGCATATAGCAGCTACAGGTCTAACTGAGATGGTGGAGAAAGGCATTCTGCAAGTTGATTATAATATGGTTGCAAGGAAAAAAAAGGTCTCTTTTCCAGTAACACTTCCCAAAACTGTGCTATAGATTCCCCCTAATTCTGTAATTTCTAAGCCTCACAGTTCAAATGTGCTCTGCTTTCCTTATTTTGTTCTTGTTTCAGTTGCTGCAGCATTTGTCTCCTTTCAGAAGTCCTTTCATGTTTTTACTCACAGGTTTCATTAAAGTGGATCTATGTAGAGTAGGTTAAGAGATTGTTAATATCTACAGTAACTGACTCTAACTTGTACTAATTCTTAAATGTTAATTCTGATTTATCCTTTATCTTGTAGTAGCATGCTAAAATACTTTATTGCAACTACAGTTGCGATTTCATTAGTGCTTACGACTTGTGTGTACATTCCAGCTTTGCCTGTTGAAGACTCCGACTGGGAAGTCTAAATGATTACTCATTTGTCAGCATGAGTCTAATGTTAGAACTAGCTTCTTTCCCGATTTGGCCTTCTGCTTGTGATCTCAGACCTGCAACTATTTCTGCTGATACTTGATATTAAAACTGTTTGTCATAAAAGCTTTGACCCTTCTTAGTTCTACATACAACACCAGCTGTGCCAAAGATTGGTTATACTCACTTCTGTATTTTTCAGTACCTCTAATCAAGCTAAATATTCTTTGCATTGTAGTGAAGAAGGAGCTCCTGTACACTTAATCTTACAATGTTGCTTCCTTTTTTCCCTTGGCATTTTTAATGCCTTTTAAATGCTTTTCATAAATAGCCTGAGAGAGGAAAAAATAATGTATCTTCAATATGAATGTTGGGATAGCAGAATTGAAAAGCATTTCCCAATGTTTTGTGCAAATCCTTGTAGCTCTGTTTAGAGGACCGATGGTTTCTTGTTGTTTTCTCCAGTCTGTTTAATGCAAAACTGAAAGAAAAGCCTGCTTTCTGCTGAGCTTTTCTCTCTCTCTGCTGTACAAAACAAATGTTAAAGAATCAGACATGAACACAGAGTAGCTTTCAGTCATGTCAGACATAATTATAACAGCAAAGCCGCATGTATTAGCATGCAGGAGGGAAGTGTATGATCGAGTTCTCCTCCCTCCTTTATGGCTGACTTTTCTGTTACGGAACAAGGAAGGCTGTTTTGAGAAGTTGTGAGTGTGTGGACGGTCTGAGCATGTGTACAGTGACTCATAAGGAAAAGCATTAAATGAGCTTTTGTTTACCCCTGCTTCGTCTGGTGAAAAGGGAGCTCAGTACACTTTCATAGGAAAGTTTGGAAGCTCCAAATTTCTCATGCAAAAATTTGTCCCTTCTGTCAATAAAGCTGTATTTCAAATCAGTCCTGTATCTTTTAATGAAGCCATGCCAACAAAAAATGTGATAGCAGTTAATGCTACAGTTAATCCTGCTAGGTGAATATGCTTCCAGGAAAATGCTCTGTCCTATGGAGTCAGCTCCTTTGTAGATACCTAAATTCTCTTAGCAATTGTCATTTACATGGGTTATATTGAATTATAGTGACATCTGGTGGTATTGTAAACAATTCCTATACAGCTTCTTTTTTGTTGTTTATGGCATTGTCATTCTCCTTTTAGGAAAAATTTCTTGTTTGTTTGTTTGACAATATGGGTGATATTAATCCAACTGTTGCATTTAATTTAAACATGTTAGCCAGTTCCCCAGTGTATCATAAAAACTTTGAAAGCCAATACAGGCTCGGTCACTCAGTTTGTGGTTTTCAGAACCTGCTCTTGCACTTGACTTGAGAATGTTTTTGCCTCACAGTTTTCAAGCACTTTCGTTTATGAAGTGCACACTTGGGAACGCTCTTCTACACTAAGCAATAGCATGAGTGCATTTTAAATCCTGGTTCTCAGTGAAAATATGTCCCAATAGAAAATGAATTTTATACTTCCTCAGAACGTAAGTGGCTCTACATAAACAGAGCCATCTGCACAGCACCTCAGTGACGCGGGCAGAAGGCTACTTGGGGCATTAGTATAACCCCGCAGAGGATATTTTGGGCGCCGGGCCGGGCCGCCCTCCTTGGCGGGTGCTGCTCCTGTCACGTAGCCGCAGCCCCGGCGGCTCGCGCAGCCTCGCACTCCCCCTGCGCGGCCGCTTGAGCAGCCGGAGCAGCAGCGGGGCGGGACCCGCCTCCCCGTCCCGGGCAGCTGATTGGCTGGGCGCGACTTCACGAGGGAGAGGAGGGAAGAGGAGCAGCCGTTCCACGGTGATTTTTCCCCCTCGTCCCGCCCCCGGAAAGCGCTCGGGGGCGTTGATTGGCTGGATGGGACTCCGTGCCTGGCTGTGATTGGTCGACGGGAATTGGCGCCTCTTTCGCTCGGGCGGGGCGGGGCGGGGCGCGCCGCGCCGCGTGCCGTGCACTGAGGTGAGGTGAGCTGAGGTGGGCGGCATGTCTGTGAGGGGCGCCCTGTGCCTCGCGGCCTTCTACTGCCCCGCCGGGGCGCCATGTTGCGGGGAAAGTGTGTTTCTTTATGGTAACCTGGCTTTGGGGAAGATGCCGGTGTCTGTGTGCCCTGAGACACCTGAAAATAAGCGTTTTGTTTTTCTCTCCTGCTTTCCCTCACTCGGGAGGGAGTGAGAGGTTTGTGAGGTGACAGAAAATGCTTCAGTGAAGTAGTTTGCATTCGTGTGTTGGAAAGTATAAAAAGCCACCTCGAGTTTTTAGATTTTGCCTCCCTTATTAATGCAGTACTTAGTCTGTCTCCCGTCATCACTTGTATGGAAGTTGCTGTGTGTGTTTAATCATTGTTTCAGTTTTCTGTGCTTTTCTGCCTTTCAGAATTTCTCTGGTGGGGAGTTTGGAACTAAATGAGATAGTCAATATGTAGATGACTTATACACAGCATAAAAATGTTTTTTGCCCTGTTAGTTAAGAAGACAAAATAATGTTAGCAACTTCTGATCATTATTTAGAGAACTAGAAACTATAATCCCAAAATCATGTTCTTGGCTGGTAAGAGTTATTTTGGGCCAGCACTATAGATAGAGTTAGGATGACTTTTTCCCCACAGGCTTCAACACATTTTCTCTAGTTAGTACATGTGCCATTTTATAACATGGATCTTCTGCAGTTCTCTCTGGTTGGCTGTTAACTTTTCTGAATAGTCTCGTGTTGACAGTTTGCTTTGCTATCTTCCTACATGCCCCTTTCCTGCATCTGTATCTCTCTATAATGAAGGTTTGCTGTAGAACCTTCTGTGCTGCCACTGTGAAAGCACATCACTTTTCTTGCCTTTTCTCATTTTAACCAATTGCATGTGAGGACATTTCCTTTTATCTCATGGTAGGTTAATTCCTTAAAAAAATAGTATTTGCACTCCTGACAAATTTTGGAGTTTGTAGTATATTTTGGTTGATTCACTTTGATACTGTGTTTCTGAAGCTGATTTTAAATTTGCCTGAAAGTTAATGAATTTATTTTTAGTCACGTGTTGTTGTGTGTGTGTTTTTTTTTTTTTTCCCTTCCTTCTTCTTATGCAGCTGAATAGATGAATTGCCAAAATGGCAGCAAGGAATGAGATGAAGGTATGTACTTAAAAGGAAATGAGTGTTGGATGTTTTAATTACTATTTTCTTCTAGTATTTAATTAGAAGTAAAAATTGCAGTATGATGAAATAATGCATTGAAAAGAGTAGATAACTTAAAATTCAAAATTTTTAAAGTAGTAAGGGAGTGGTGTTAAAACAATGAGTAAATATCTATCTGTAATAAAAGGAAAAAAACCTCCAATTAAGGAAAGGTAGCAGATTACATTTAGTGGTTTTGTGGTTTGGTATGTTTACTTAGAGTCCAGCAGATGATTACATAAAAACTTGCATCAAATTGTGACTGTACAGAAATACACTTGCTCCATTTTCTCTTACTCTGACAGCTGGAAAAACTAATTGATGAAGCTACAAGGAAAAAAGATTTCCAGTTATTAGAACACTTTCTTCAAACAAAAGACTGTGAGAATCTTTCTCATAAATGCAGCAAACAGTTTGTCAACAAATTAGACAAGCTTCTGTGTCGGGTAATGTAATCATTGCGTGTTGAGATTTATGCTGTTATTGTAATAGCCAAGAAATATTGATTTAGTTGGCTTGTTTATACTGTCAGTTCATTCAAAAAAATTTAAGAGAATAACTGCTGTTTCATGGAGTAGTTAAGGTGACTTTTGGCAACAAAAAGGCACCAAGTTAATTAAGTATAGATTCTTCTAGAACTGTACATTGAAGCTGATATTCCAATTTCAATTTTAGGAACTTGACAAACAAGAGATCAAAAACATTTCAACTTTACTAAGTTCTTTTCAGAAATGTGGGGAAAAAATCAGCATAGCAGGCGAAGATGGTCTCCCAGCAATGATGAAATATGGTCTTGTTGAAAGGATAAGTATAACCATAAAGCTTTTGTAACTTTTTTTTAAGTTAATGAGGTATACCTGAATAATGTTTCAAGGCTCAATAGCTTAGTATTCAATTTTGTCTTCAATTATTTCTGAATTAAGAATTTCTTCCATTTTTTTCAGAAAATTTTAATCAGATCTAAATACGCTTTGACAAAGGAGCACCTCCTCATGAAGTGATGCTTCTGTAATACAGTGGAGGTTTCACGGTTATGCAGTTTGTAATTAATTTAAATTTGCTAATAGCAGATACAGTAAATGGTTGTCTCTTTTATATGAGCATCCTACAATGCTTTATGGTCAGGATTTGAAATTTTCTGGTGCAGTTTAATGAATTTTGTGTTAATGCACTGGCAAAATTGTGTGTTTTCTTTCAACAGATTATAGCACTATTCTAGTTATTTTGTGTTATTTCAACATTTATATAAAATACCTTAATCATTTGCTGCTTAGTATAATAAGTATACCAAAAAGTATAGGTGACTTTCTTATTGCCTTCACTGAAGATTTCACTTAACAAAATTAAGGACAGTGTCCAGAGGTGATGATTACTGAATTGGCCTTATCAAGTGCTTTTAAAAAAATGGAAGAAGTAAAAGAAAAAGAAGTTGTAATGTCTTCATAATTACATTCACACATTATCTATTTACAACTCTTTTATCTGTGACAGTAGTTGCTAAAGTAGATTTTCAGTTTTTGTGTCAGAAGTCAGTTGTGGAAGCGACTGATACGAGACTAAGATCGTCTATATTTCCTTAGTCAATGTGCAAAATTGCAGTCTGGGGCTCAAGTACAGTCAGAGATCGCTAAGCGTGTCTTTCTATTCTTTCTATGTTTTGTGTAAGTTTAGTTAAGTATAATACAAACAACTGTCCTTTTTCTGCTGTTAAGATTGGTTTACTTTTATTTTCCCTTCACATGGTCAAATGGTTTGAAAAGGTGAAAGCGGTTTTGATCCTCAGAGGAAATGAAAAAAATGAATTGCTAACAAGTTTAGCTGAAGATTTCTTCGACGTGTTGCTGGTAAAATATGTTCATAATAAAATACATTAGGCATGTATTTATGAAAATTATTAGCAGTTCAGCACCAAAAAGACTTTCAAATGTTTTTCATTCTACAGTTTACTTCTACAGTTAATGTTCTCTGAGTTTTGAAATATATTACAAGTCTTTTCAGATAAAAAGCCTCAATTTGTACCCGTTGTTACTCACATTCACACTCAGCATATATTATAGGTGCTTAATAAAAATAATGATCTCAGTCTGATTTTTATTGTGTAAGTTAATGATATGTATGCCATATCATTTTAATTCTGCAAGATTTGTCCAAAGTTTAGAACTTAGCAGTCTTGCTGTGTTCCTAAATAAGTCTGTGCATAAATGTTCTTATTGGGAAAACAATGCCTGCAAGTTTAGCTGAAATACAATTTCAGCAAACCATGCTTGGCATTAGAAGAGTGCCCTTATGGTCATCATTAAGGGATGAAACAGCTGTAACAAATACATTTGGTCACCTGTTTTAGATGTGTGTTACCTGATATTGATGTCTTTTTTTTTTTTTTTTCCTGTAGGTTATATATGATACTGGTCCTGAAGGTGAGTTTAAAAACATATGCACTGAATAAGGTATTAAAATGTTGTTAAAATTACTCCAATTACTGTCAAATAATCTGGTTTTAAATTAAAAGAAATCACAGTCTAGGGGATTGATGCATTCTAAAAATTCCCAGCTACCAGATTTGTTGTGGGAATTCTCTTGTTGTGTAGAATGAGTGTTCTGGCACCTATAACAGAGGGTATTAAGAGTTTTTTGATTTAATGTAGATATACTAGATCTATGTGCTTCAGCTAATAGGTAAAGATAGAAAAGAGCCTATTCCTAAGCAGGCTTATTCTATACATAAGCCAAAGGGCCAAGCTATTTCTGCTTCGTCTGAAACAAGCTTGAATGTCAGCTGTAGGTTTGGCTGTTTGAGTTTTTTGTACTAATAGATTTTCTTTCAAAATAACTTGCTTATATCAGTATATATAGAAAAAGAGAGTTCATTCTTCTCAGTGACAGCAGTTAAACTGAGGTTGTGGGGGTTTTATTGTTTGTTTTTTGTCCTTGTTACTGTAAGATCACACCCCTGTTACCCTTCAGTGTAGCACTAGTGGTACAGAGTCACTGCAGACCATCATGCCATCAAAATCAAAATTTATTTCCTTGTTTTTGGAAATGTACAATTTCAGAGTCTGAATTATATTTCAAAGAGCTGAGTTACAGAATTGATTTGAGTGTATTTTAAAGGTGATCTCATGCACAGAGGATTCGTGCTTTCGGAATATGATACATAGGGATAGAAACATTTAAAAGATCATTATTTACTATGAATTGCAGTAACCATTCTGTCTTACATACGAGCTAAGAAGTTTAAAATCTTTGTTTTTAAATATCAGTAATTGTGTATGGAAACAAAAGCATACTATATTTCTATATGAAAATGAATCAGTGTTTAAAAAAGTTGCTGAGGAATTATCTTTCATACATTTTTGATGATTGTTTTTTTCCTTCCTTCCCACTGTTCATAAGGTAAAATGCAAATACTGGAGAACTTTGTACTGAGAGCATGTACTCTCATTGCTGATGGAAGAATTAATATTTATGTTCAGCAGTAGGTAAATATTCTTTTTTTCAATAGTTTTTTGTTGGTGTTCTGGCAGACCTTGTAAAGCTGGTTAATATTTTAAGTGTACCATTGCTACAGAAAGAATATTCTAATGCTTTATTATTTAGGGGAAGTGTTTTGGTTGTCATTTGTATGTTCTTAACTGCTTTCAGCCTATTGACCTGATTTATCATTTTGGATAATAAATTACATAAGCGTGCTACTAAGATTCTGGAGAGACGGTTAAATGAAAGCATTGGAAATAATAATGTGCTCAGTGGCAATTGATATGAATAGCTTAAGACTGTTAGTATAAAATCCTTAAAAATTCCAACACCTCTAGCATACTGTAAATTTCTCCTATTTACTTTAGTAACCTTTTAAAGAAAGATTAAGTTGCAAAGTTATTTAAATATCTAGCTTTATTTATATTTATCAAATATGCAACGTGAGCCCAAAATGTAGTTAGAGAAGAACTTAAAGTGTAATGATTTACATTATATTTAACCTTCTTCTCTTCATTTTTCTTAGATAGTAAGAAAACTAAATTTAATGCTGGACAACATGCCTCGAGATGCCAGGAAAAAGATATTTTCTGCAAAGGAAATGTTACTTGTCATGTAAGTAATCTTCAGGATAATTTTTATGTTATTGTTTACGTTGCTGGGAAGACAGTTTTGACTGAGGCTAATTATAATGATTGCAGAAAGGTTGTTGTGTAAGAGATTTCTGCATTTGCAGCTGGGTAGCCAGTGGTGGTGCTTCTCAGCAGTTGTTATTTTAAAGAGGTTACTCTCCCTTTCAAACCTAAATTGCCTCTTTTTCTTCTGAGTTACGCTACACCTGAACCAAATTGTCTTAACATTGAACTTCTAATAAGAACTTCTGGTAAAACACAGTCATTTACGGGAAGGACAGACTATTTACAGTAATCTTTGGAAAAGTTTTCACAGCATTTATTTATATATATCAGGTGATTTACTTCCTAGAGGTGCTTTCAGATGTATGATATGTGGGAGGAAAAAGGAGGCAGGCAGCATAGTGTTTGGAACAGGAGTCCATCTCAATAAAATAAGTTACTTTAGTTACTTTTGGATGTGTTGAATCCAGAAGACTTTTCATGAACCTAGGCTTTATCTTCTTCAATGTCAGATACAGGTTTCCTTTAGATTTTTGCTTTCTGTTTGCTTTTGTTTGTTTTTCTTAAGGCCAAGGTAGGATTTTAATCACTGACCAGTTTAATACACACAGAACTGGTGTTTTACTAGGGTCCCAGCACTTAATGTTGGTAAAGGGAAGGAATGGGAAATATCATCTCCCTTTTCTTCATAATTCACATTGTATGGATTGCTAGACAGTGCTACTTGTAATGAGGAAGGAGACAGGGTTATTTTGAACTGCATGCCCCAAATCACCTGTATTTCTTGATACTATTATTGTTACAATTTTTCAAATACTTGTATGCTGAACAAGAAATAGTGCTGCTGCCTAGCAGTTAAGAAACTTATTCCCTTAAAGTCCAATATTATAGTGGAATTAGGAGGTTGTCCCATACATTGAAAGCTTGTACTTAAACTTATCCTGTATGCTGTGTGTTACTGTCATATTTTAATCAGATTGTTCTTTATTTTGCAGGAGTGATATGGGAAAAAGAATTTTAGATGCTGGAGGTAAGCACCAGACTTAATAAACAATGTATTATTCATCTTCTGTTGCTTATTTGAAAAGCCTGGAAAGACGCTTAAAGTTGGAGAATTGTAATTACAGTTTTTTGAAAAATGCTAATATTATGTGAAAATGATTTACCATCTGAAATACTTAAGATGTACATAGCATATGCTTAGGTTTGAGTTTTTCTCCTCTTCTATAGCAGAGAAGTTCTAAAAGAGCAAAAGATCAGGAGGAGGGGTCAGTTTTTGAGGACAGCAAATTGCTGGCTGGTTTGGTAATACTAATTTCTACGATGGGCCTCTGTGGTATCCAACAATCTCTAACCATTCAGGGTTTAGAAAGTTGGTAAAGTCTTAACTCTGTATGAACATAGAGTTACTCTAACTTTCCTTGATAGCCAGGTTGAAATTTACTTCTGAAAAATAATTGGGTTCGTCATCCTTATTCCTTTATTTCTTTATTTATGCATTATGGGTTACATATCTGGATATATGATACGTAATATGAAAAATGCAGTGCTAGTAGTACCACTTTATCTTACATATTTTTTCAAATCAGTAACATCTCTGGAAAATACTATTTCTGTAAAATGTTTTGTGGTGTAGCCATCTCTGAAGCTCCTGTTTCTATACAATGTTTTATAACCTGCAGACTATGACCTGCAAGTAGCCATTACGGAAGCTCTGTGCAGAATGACATCGGAAAAACAAAGAGCAGACTTGGCATGTCAGTGGTTTTCCATGGAGTTTGTGTCCAATGCCTTTAAAGGAATTAAAGATTCTGAGTTTGAAACAGTAAGTCATAGGCAATCTCTTTCCAAGAAAATAAACTTTAAAGTTACAATTCTGCAGGAAATTTTTCTTTTTCAACAGGACTGTAGAAAATTTCTTAACCAGGTGAATGGAATGCTTGGGGATAACAGAAGGTAAAGTAGAAATTCTTATTTATTTATTTGCTTTCTTCTTAGCCTGCTGCAAAATTCTGAGATGTTCATTAATTCCAATAGACAGATATCATCTAAAAATAGCTAATAATTTGTTCATATATGCTATGTTACTTTAACATTGACATAGGATACTTATGTTGAGGTAATCATCAACGAGAGTACTAGTGAAAATATCTGCAAGGGAAGAGGGACCTAAAAAGGAAGAACAAGCTAAGAGCTTTTTTTGAGTCTATATAGTCATGTGCTTTGCATGTTATTTAAATCATTATATGTCATGATAGCAAAGGGATTGTTTGATACCTATATCTATCAAGCATATATTTGTTTTGGCCACCTACTATAAGATTATTCTTAATACACTAGCAGGTAATTAGATCTTTGAACATAATAGTAAGATCTGAGACCTCTGCTTTAACTGTAAGGATATATTCATGTCTTCTCTTTTGGGGGAAGAAGTGCAATCAGGTGACAGCCCTTAGGACTGCCTTCTCTTCTTGGTCTCTAAAGTATACAGGTTATATATTGCAAGTACAATCCAGTTGCTCTGTTCAGGTGGGCAAAACTTATTTATAACATTTTACAGTGTTTGACAAAATATCCTTTCCTTACAGGGTTTTTACATATCCATGTTTATCAGCAAGTCTTGATAAATATGAGGTAAGTTACAGATGCGATCCTGTATGCCATTTCTATTTGTGCAGCTGAAGTATGCTTTTGTTGTCTAGATAAGGAAAATAAAGGAATAAATGAGACGGGAATTGCTTTCGAGTATGTAGATGTTTATGTATTTAAACTCTGTTCAGATTGTAACACAAAGACTTAACTGTGTGTTAGCTGTTAGAAATTTTAGTTCTTATGTCTTACATGCTACTTTTTTGTGTTTTAGCTACAGATACCTTTGGATGAAAATCTTGAAGAATTTTGGATTGATTTTAACATTGGTAGTAGAAGTATATCTTTCTATGTGGCAGCAGATGATGCTGTAAGCTAATTCTGTCCATCATACCTCATTTTTCTGAGGCAGTAGATTTTCTTTATTTTCTTCCCAAGTATATCAAATTTCTTTCCCCAGATTGATTGTGGAAGCTTTATTTGCAACTCTACTGATTACTGTTACGTTGTTAGGCTCTTTTTTTTTAATATTTAGATCACACAATTTCAAAGTAACAGCTCTGTAAGTACTATTTTATGAACAATTTACCATATAATTTTTTATGAGAACAAAAAGGCATTTATGAAGTTGCAATATGAAGTTGCAATACCAGTTCTCATAAATGGGACTCAGTGGTTTAGATGAATATTTTTAACAGAACTATTCTGAAATGTTATTCTCTTATTGTATCTTTCTTGTCATTTCTTCTAACACATTTTAAACGTTGAAAATTTGTCTTCATTGAATAGTTTTGTGATCACAGTTAATCATAATATAGTAGAAATTTTTGTCTCAAAAATGCGTATTTTTTATATAAGGCACAACAATGGGAAACAGTCATTATACCAGAAGAAGAGGTAGAACAGTACAACCTTGAAGGTATTAATGAACATTGTCTATTGTTTGTTAAACAGTAAGCTGGATTTTCAGATTGTTAAAATCCTAGAGCACTGACTTAGTTCTTAGAAAAGTAAATTCCTATTTAAAATACTATGCATATGTTATTAAATTCTAATGAAAGTACTTTTAAAATACTGTTTTTGTTCAGAAAAAGACTCAAAGAAATTATTAACCATCAGTCTAAAAAGCCCGATGAGTGTGGGTGATCAAGGAGGAGATAAATTTTTTTTGTATTTTGATTCTATATTGGAAATCAAAGATGTAACCAGAAAGATTTACGGAGAACATAAATTTAAGGTAAGGTAAATAAAAGGCAAGATTTAAACACATTTTTCTAACAGATATATTTTTTCTTTTTATTCACTGAGAATGAATGTCTCTTCCCATATCAATGTTGTTATAAATGTGGTTATTTTGTTGATGTATGTCTATATATAGTTCCTGACCATCATGACCACTACAGAGCAGCATTTACGCATAATGTGTTAACCTTCAGATGCATAAAATATTTAAAATGAATTGCTGTAGGAATTCACTTGAAAGATCCATAATTCATTTTAAAGGAAGAATCCATTTGCATGGTGTAAAGGCAACACAATAGATTAATGTCAAGTTTTGCATGAGAAGTAGATTCTTAAAAATGCAGAACTCTTTCAGAAGTGACTTTATGTCTACCATGCTTATTGCAAATTTAAAAATTTTGCATTGATATCAACCTTGATGTATTTTCTGTTGCATATTCTCATTCTCCATCTCCATAATTTAGGCCAGGGAGTTAAGCCAAACTTTTAGTCTCCCTATTATCCACTACAGTTTCAGACTTTTCCGTTGGCCCAGTCAACGTTATTAATGGGAAGCTGAAGAAGCTCTGATAAGAGCAAATAGGAAAGACTCATTGGAATCAGGCACTGGAAACTGGATCTCCACAACTCAAATCAATGCCCTAACCTTTGGGAATACCGTGTGCTGGTATCAGTCTGTCTTCTTCTGAATTGCCATGCAAAACTAAAGGGGTGATTTTAACAGACTGGAATTTTAAAATGCAAAAATTTGTTCAGAAATTTTTAATCAACCATAGCTTATTCCTTACTGCTGGTGGCACCCAGGCTGCCTTTGGTTTTTCATAACTCGGAAGCTAATGAGGAATGCAGCTGCAAGTGCAAGATTTATTTTCTCTTTTATCCCGATTTCAGATATTGATGTTCTGTGATTTAGAAAATTCCTTTGTGATCGTTGTTTAAAAAATAGAGCAAAATTAATATTTTACACTGATTTTTCTTTTCATTTTACAGGGATTTAATAAAAAGCAGTCTACATCAGTTGCCAAAACAACTGTACATGTTGTTTTTGATGAAAGTGGATCACAGGTATTGTTCTTCAGAATGCAGGGGATTTTTTTTTGTGTGTGTATTATTTTTATGTTTATTCTGGTCAGTAGCTAATTTAAGATGAATTATCAACATCTTGAAAGATGATACTGTTAAGTCATTTCCAGTAAGCATGCAAGTATCAACCGTGCGTCTCTGGTGTGAGAATCAGAAAAAGTATGCAAATAAGTTCTGCAGAAAAGTTCTTTATGTGAATTGGGTGTAATCTTGTAGCCTGTTCCTCCTAGCCAAAGTAACAGTTCGATGTTTTTCAAAATCTGTGTGTGTGTGTATATATATATATATATATATGGGCAGTAAAATTCCTATCCAAATTCACACTGCAGAAAGTGGTACTTATGGTAGTACTAAAATATGTATGTATATGCATGTGTAGACTTTATATATGTCTAAAACATGCATTATATGTCTCTGTGTGTGTATACCTAGAGAGCAGAGGAATGAAATGTTTAGCACACTTCTTTTTTCTCCAAAATATTTTGTAGGTTCTAATACCAGAAAGTCAATTGTCACCATGTTTGGGAGAAAAAGCTAGAGTAGAAGAGAAATCCAATGAGTCCAAAACCCAGAAACTTCCTGGAACTGTGAGGAATTAGGTTTTTGTATCTGAATGTTTAAAACTGAGTGAAAGCAGGTGGGGCTGGGCAAGGTGTGACTCTGAATAAAAACAGCACTGAAGACGTATATAAAGATGTTTCCTCCAAGGTAAGAGTGGGGTTTATCAAAGCAGGAAAGATTACCTCAAAAATACAAGTAAGTCTAAATATCTATTGTATTTCATGCTATAAAATATTAGGTGTTTGTTATTTTATAATTGGAAATGATAATGTAGGTTTTGATTTTGCTGCTTAACAGTTATTATAAATCTTTCAAAAAAAGGTTTCTCACTACTATTAGTGTTACAGTTTCAATATAAGCATGATAAAAAGCAGTTGTTAATTTTTCTTAATAGATCGTTATGCTTTGAAAATTCTCTTTAGAAGATTTAAATACTTGCTTACACCTCTTTGATATGCATGTCTCATACAGCCTTTTGAGACTTAATGATCAGATATAGAAATAGCTGTAATTAGAGGCAAGTCCTATAGGCATTGTGTTCACAGACTGATGCTTACAAAAATAGCTTTGATGAGTTTGTCGAGATGAAGTCTGTTTCTTGGTTATGGGAATCAGTTTAATGGGACTGCTTCTATACAAAGGTGACTCTCTGACCTAAATTGCTGAAGTAGCAAATTATGAAGTCTGCTGTTTTTGTGACACAGGTATGAAGTTAAAAATATAGCACAATTATGTTACCAACTAGCTACAGATATGCTAGGGATGGGGGAAAAGATGAGGGTGAAGACCACTGCTTTATCTTCACTGTTGTGCAATGCATGCCTTACTGGCAATGGTCTCTAGTAAAGTCTTCCCTGATGTTCTGCCATAGGTTACAAGATAATTTTGTGAAAACTCATGGAAATCATCCCAGTTGCTTGGATTGTTAACCAGGAACACAATTTGTCCCTTACCGAATTAATGTTAAAAAGCAGCAATCTCTGATCGCAGTCAAAAATCTTTAGTTTTGATTATCAATCTATGTGCCATGGTGAACTTCCTCTAAAAAGAAAAGTGCAAGAAGCCCACCTGAAACACGCCTGTGCTGATGTGTGCGGCAATAGCAATTGACGTTCCAGTTAACAAAAATACACCTGGAAATAATTTTCTGAAATCTTGTTTTGTCATCTCTAAGACTGCATGTTTTTTGTTTGCTTGTTTTGTATTCAAGATAAACACATCTTGTAAAAGGAAAGTGTCTGAAGCATCAGTGATTATTCCTGGAACTGCAACATTTCCTATAAGGAGTCCACTCGTATTTGTTAGTTCCTGTAAGTTGACAAGTACTTTCAGGGTTAAAGTGTGATATAAATACTCTCTGAAATACATTGTTAATTAATTTCTGAAGAAGATAATTTGTATTGTTAGTGACATCTATGCAAATGGCTAACGAAGACGAACATAACGCAAACTTGGACTGTGATCCATTGCAGAACTGGAAATGAAGTGGAGAATAGAATTCAAAGTCTTGAAATTTTCAAGCTATCTTTCTGTATCATGATGGAGAGCAGCAGCTGCAGATGTATTTCAAGCAGCTGGAAGCCCCTTATTGTTTGTTCTGCTGTCTGTTAGGGTCAGCTGCTAGTGCTAGAACAGGCTTGAGGAATTTGTTCATGAAATAGAAGGAATTGATTAGAAACCCCCAAAGGTGATTTTTCATGTGGTAACTAAATGCTCCTAGTTTAAAGAATTCTCAGTAGTGATTGCTTTTATAGCAATTATACAGGGAAATGTGCTTTCTCCCTTTTGTACATCTATCAGTTGCATTTTGCTCTATTTAACAGCACTCTTTGCATACGGGCTCATTGTGGCAGTTTCATAAAAACGACGTTTTTCTTCAAAGGCCAGTTGATTATATGGCTGGCAGGCAAAGCACTATCCACTGCTGGTCTGAGCTGTGGGTCCAGTGCTACTGATGTTGACTTTAGCTGCCCTTTTCGTAGTGGGGAAAGGATAAAGAGAAGAGCTTTTCTTTACCACAAGTAGGAGTCCTTACTTGGCTACAGATGGTCATATTCTGACAGAGTTTTAACACTTTCTAAAATGAAGTATTTTTAGGAAAAAACATTGCAGGCTCTAGATGCATGTGGTAGTTGAATAGTGTGACTCACAAACTTAAATTGCTTGAACAGTCTTAAAGTGCATCAATATCTTTTTTCTTGCATATTCATGTAATGTATAAATTAACGGGGTTACAGCATAGAAACTAGAGCATTTTCAAATTGGGAAGGAAGAAGACAGATAACTGCTGTGGCTTTTATTTGTGATTACAGTCTATACTAATAAAAATATAGTTAAATATTTTAATGCACAACCAGCTTCAGTAGCAGGGTGTAAGAGCTATTGCCAGTCTCCAAATATCCACGATCTGTTATTGATTCATTAACTTTTATGTAACTTAATTGAAATCAGTAGAATTGTTACCGATACATAATGAGTTGATACCCCCACTGGGCAATGTCTTTAAACTTACGAAATAACGTGGTCATGCCACGTGGATGTGGTAACCACGTATTCATGGCACAGACAACACAGTAGCTGTAAAGGAAAAAAGGGTAGAATTCTAACATGTCTCTGGTTTGTTTGCAGCCACTCCCTGTAAAGCACGACTCAAATTACCTTTGCAGTTGATGAGCTCTGCTGAAAGAACTAATGCTATAAATGAGACCAGAACAAAGAGTTTATATCAAGAAGTTACTGGAGTATGCACATCATCTGTAGCTAAGTCTTTTACTCAAAATAATAATGCTGCAGAAAGTGGGAGGAAAAGCCACTTAAATTCTTCCTACTTTGTATTTTGGGGAGATTTTCCCATTAGTAACTTGGATTAAACAAACCAAAAAAACAGCATAGTGCATTATTTTATTGCATAATTTTTTTTTTGTCTTCTGGATTTCACACTTAGTCTGTTTGGGCAGGCTGGCTCTTACAAAATTGGCCAAAATTTACATTCAGTCATCAGTTTTGACCCCAGGGTTAACCTGCTTCAAGCAGACTTCTCTGCACAGGGGTGTGTACATGGAATACCACATACATCATGCAATGCTGAAATACTTCTAAAGAATATATAATGCAGTCAGCAATAATTGTGAAATTCTAAATGTCCCCAGTATTTATATACTGTTTGATTTTTAGTGTATTGTTGATCAGTGCATTAGCTGAACTCTAACAAAGCTACATAAGCGTCACTGAATAACTACAACTTGAGTATATGTATATATCTTTTATTCTGTCCTGGTTCAGGAAAAACTTCAAACTAACAGTTTGATTTTTATTTCTATTTCTAAATGTTTTTGGAGGTCAGATTCTGGCCAAATCCCTTGTTATTGGATTCTGAAATGTTTTTGGTATTGCCATGCTTTAGAAGGCAGCTGCTACAAATAAGATGTCTAGTTTAGATTATTTCAAGTATTACTGAATGTTTACTTCTTTGCTTGTATGGATTATAGATATTACTATTCTTTTTAGGGTAGACAGAAGTGTGCACTAGACAGTGAATTTTGTGAAAGCCAACAGAGTTTCACAAGGAAGTCAAAAACCCGAAATGAGGCAAAACTATCTGAAAAGGTATCAAATAGTACTTCTGTGACCTGAAAGAAATATTTTATTAGGGAAAATACAAGATTTAAAAGTGATACTGCATACAGTCCTCTGCCAATATGTTTTCTTTGTATTGTCTTACTATGTTTATAGCAAATATGTGCTGAAGAAGTTTTAAAAATGTTACATGAGCCAGAACACGAGGACAATCAAAAGCCAACTTCAGGCAAGTAGCTTTGCAAGTGTTGATAGCTCTTGGGATTTTTGTTTGTTTTGTTTAGTTTTACTTTTGTCCATTTCTTTTATTATAATGATTATAATAATGGTTAATATCTCATTTAGATGAGATATTGGATGTTGTTCCTGATTCTCAGCCAGTAGGAAGATGCAACAAAACTCTGTAAGTAGTGGAAAATAATCCAAAGTAACTGCTTTTATGAGAAATTTAGTGTTTTTGAGAGCATTGGGTTTAAGTTTGCCAGAGTTGAAATTTTGATATATAGCTTTAGAAGATTCCAGAATTTGTCTTGTATTCCCTGGCACATCTGTATTAAGAACTGTTAGTGTGAGTTCACTTTCCTATGTGTCTTGTTTGTTTAAACTTTGAAATAGTGATATTTATATAGCTAATAAAATTACTTCATGACCGTGGCTTTTGTATGGTTTTATAAACAGATTCAGCAATTTAATAATTCTTCAATTGCCACCAAAACAGTATTTCTTAACAAGATCATAGTAGGAGTTAAAACACTGCCTGAACTTGTTTTATTACAGCAGATTAATTCTTCCAGGAGACATCAGAAAATAAAATACAAATGGCACAGGGGTTTATGAATAAGTGAACTGTACCATAAAAAGTTAGTGCAAATTTCATCTGTTTGTAATTCCAATAGAGACATCACAGGCTTACAGCTAGACTCGACTTGAATGGTGGCCATTTTACAATGTCTAAATTTTACTATATCTACAATATCGGATGTGCATTAGTATCTACTAGCTATTACACATTTCCTATTTTGTGATTAATGTAATTAAGACTACTTTCTGCAATTCGTTCTTAATAGGATGGTATTGTTTTTGTTAGGTTGCCTGGTCTTTTGGAAAACTCTTTTGATAAAATAAAAACATGGAAAAAACGAACGTGCTCTGTTCCTGAGACCGATATAATGACTTGGGACAAACAAAAGCTAAATCCAACATCAGGGAATATATCCCATCCAGGTTATGTTCGTATTTTGTTAATTGTTATGAATGCTAAGAATGTTTCTGATGAGTTTTTAACCCAATATTGCCCAGTACTCTTTTTTTTTTTTTTTTTTTTTTAAAGTCTTTCCATATTAGTTTCTATTCTTAGTGAAAGAGCTGTGAAATAAAAAGCTTCTTACTCAATTTTTGGAAGTAGCTTTCCAGAAAAACAAGCATATAGGAAAAAGAAGAAAAAAAGGAAATTGACACAATGAGGGCAAAAAATTGAAAATACTGAGTGGACAGTCAAACAGTATTAATCATGTTGAACAGAAAATGTTAAGTACAGAAGGAATTAATATTTTGACTACTGTTGAAACATAATTTAAAACATTCCTTTCAGCTAGAGTGTCTGAAACATCGTTGAATTCTGATTTTACAAAATACAAGAATGCAAAAGAGGAAGCTGATACTTCCATTAGAAAGCAGACTGCAAATCATAAGCAATCAAAGGCAGTGAGTTTCTTACCTTTTATTTCATTCATTTATAATTAAGGAAAGTGCCAGATATTCAATATTTCAAAATTCTGAAGATGTATTTTTACATATGTCAGATAATTATCTGACATTAAGCTTCCACTAATATAGAGTGAAGTAATGTCAAGTAAAACAATTTTTCTTTCTCCATGACTTAAGATTTGCTTTATTTAAAATAAATAAATAAAAACTGACTCCTATTTTATTTTTTCATACAATACACATAGAATGAACAGTGATTCCCAGAGGCATGTGAGTTAATACTTGAGTTAGACTGTCTATTGAAATCAGGTGATTTTTGGGGAGACTGCAGTCCTTTTGCAACTTTGTCCTTCTGTGGAATGGGTTCGAAGTTAAAAATCTGACAAAATATTGTTGCAGAAAACAAAGTCTAAAGAAATGAAAGAAACAACCAAACTACTAATTAGTAACATCAGTGACAGATATAAACAAAAGATTGATGATAAAGGCAAATCTAGAGACTCATCAGGTTATAACAGGTATGATGTGAACTACTTAGGTGCTTATGTTTTTGTGTTTGTGCATGTGGCTTTGTGTATGATTTCGCTTCTGTCTTCAGGTATTTCACATTCTGCTTTCATCAGAACTGTTTGTTAGCTTCTGGTAAACCTCCTGCCAAAGTGCGGGAGACTAGGAGTCCCAATAGCTAAGATCATTGCAGGGGCAGTCAGAAATTCTCTTGTCAAAATGCTCTTTCAATCATCCGCTCACTGACAGCACTTCTCATGGGAAGGAAATAGCTGGGACACTTAATGCATGTTACATAAGGTATGTGCCCCAGTAAGGATGACTCCTTGTTTTAGTTCAAGGTTCAATCCTGTGTTCACTCAGCATTTTTCTAATGACCCAAAGTTCTTAGTTCTGTCCTTGAAGAGTTGACTGGTGGACAGTTTAACATGTTTTTAAAGAGAAGTCAGTCATATATTACAGGTACTGTTTCTAGGATGGATAGAATTTCCACGTTCTTTTTTACAGTTTGGTTGTAAATAAGTGCAAAGGAATGGAGAGTCTGCTGGACTACTTTGCCTTTAAAAGGCTTTGGGTAGGGATTTGAAGACAGGATATTCAGCATAGTGGTGTGGTCAGAGAATGTTTTTTTTTCTAGAACAAAAATGAAAGAGCTTGATATAATGAATGCTTCTGAAAATCCCTGTTAAGCTGTTTGTTTTAGTACTATAATGCCTGGCTAGCTATTAAATTTTGTCTTGAGGTAGCTTTTTGCTCTTAGCATTTGGGCTATAGTGGAGAAGAAGACTTAGATGAATTAGTTCAGACTTGCATGAGTTCTTCTGAAAAATCATTTATTGAAATTCAGTCTTGAAATGTGAAAAGACATTTTTCTTGTGTAAAATTGAAGCAGAAAACCTTCGGAAGATAATGCATAAGTTTTATTTTTAGGCTATGCTATCAACACCAGGATAATTTTTTTTTAAGGCTTTTACTTATACAAGCAGTATTTTAATGCATATGTTCTAATTACTGTTTTAAAAAATGTATCCCTGCTTCTTTTAGATCACATTTACATAAGTCCCATTTCAGTGTCTATAAGGTATACTTAAAATTATTGCTTTTATTGGAGTATGTTTTATCACAAGTATGCAAAAATGCTTCACAAATACTTTGATGTAAAAAGTAAAAATACAGTGACAGCTAGTGGATATAAAATGTTAAATGAATGTTAAATATTTCTGTAGAAATTATTGTTTAATATGACATAAGGTGTGTGTATATATAGGTGTGTATATAGAAAATATTTTTAATATTTTTATCTGGAATAATATTAATATGGGCATATGGGAATAATATTTATATTAGTGAAGGAAGTGCAAATTTATTCCTAGTTACATACTGTATAATGAAATTTCATGTTATTAAATGAATTTCTTTTGAGTATGGAATCTTTTCAATATCGTAATACTACAAATTTAGGAGGCAGATGATGTTGTAAACAAGCTGGACTAAGTGAGACTGTAGAGTCCTTAAATAGGAAATATCCCTGACAACAAGAATCCTCATACCTTTGGGCAAAAAAGATTCAATGAATTGAATATCCTTAAGGAATGAAAATGTACATTGTACATTTAGTTTCTACCAGCTCTTGTCTTCTTGTGCCTTACTGTATTATTGCTCATCAGATATGAGAGACTCTGAAATTCAGCTAGATTTTTTTCATATGTTTACATGGAAAAGCTTGCTTTTTGAGATGATAGTTTGTTTGAATGCGTGAGTCCAAATCCAGATGTGTAAATTGTGATTTTATGTATAGGAAAAAGTTCAGAACAGAAACCTGAAAACTGCTACTTTTCTTAATGTAGCTGCAGGTCATGTTGTGTGAGTAGTTGAAACAGTTTCAAACAAAATCTCCAATTTTTCCTATCTGTTTTGAGATATGATCATTAATTCACCCACAGAAATGTTCTGTGTGCTTATTTGACAGGGATGATATCTACAACTTCAACATCAGTGGGCTTGATGAGCCTACAATAAAGCTTGGAGTAAGTTTGTTTTATCTCTAGCTTGTGTGTATAAATGTCTGTGTATTTTTTAGATATCTAATAATGTACACTAGCGCAAAGTTCTGGCCATTGGAATCTTTTTCAGTGTATTCCTGAACTGAGAATGAAAGAGCATTAATCTATTATTAGAAATGGTAAAAGTTGCCTTCCCTTCTCTTCTTACAGACTTTTTTGCTTAGATGTTAAAATAAAAATTTAGTAAAGATAAAAGCAAAAGACAATACTGGGCCTTTTATTGTTGTGAAGAGCTTGCTGAGTAGAAGTTGGTAGTGGGCAAAGTGATTGGAAACTAATCTATTAAGTTTAAGATATGAAAGCTTAGTTCCTGCTGGTTTTTACTAAATAAATAATTTCTATAAATAAATAATAAATAATTTCTGAGATGGAAAGTATCATTCTAAGTTTGTTTAAAGAATATCTTGACTGAAAATTTTTAGTTGTTTCTCACTTATTTTTTACATTTTCAGGTCCAAGAATTGCGTGTTACTGAACTGAGTATTCATACAAATCCAACCAAAAAGGGGTAGGAATATTGTGTCTTAGTCCACTCTGATTATCATCCAGAACAATCTGTATTGCCCAGCCTTCCTGTATGCCAGTCCAGGGAGTGTATGGGTGACATCCAAGTTGAGATGTTATCACTTTTAATAGTGGTATCCTGAGCTATTTAAAAGTGTTTCTGTGGGAAACTTGTCCATAAGCTGATAAAAATGAGATAGTGTGTTTCATGAAGTAGAAAACTTCAGCATTCTTCCTGGAATGCTGTAGGGATACAGTGTCCTGGAAAGAGGGGATGATTTTTTCATTAATAACCAGCCTGCAAGAGGGAAAGTTTTATTGTTACTATGTGTGTCTGGTTGTCTCTAGAACATAAGATATTCCCTTAGGACTTAGGTGAACAGTTTTTCTTGAAATGGATGTGAAAACAAAAATCGATAGTTTTATTTAAATCCTTAATCCCTGTGTATGAATAACAGAAAGCTTTAGAAAAAATATTAGACAATTTTGATCTTTTTCTTCACAGTTTTCTTTGTTTTCTTTTTTTTCATTTTATTAAGGAATTTATATGAAAGTAAAATTAGCGCTGAAGCGGAAGGAGAAAAAAAAGTAAGGCACAGGTTTTTGTGCATCAGTTTATCTGTTCTTCCTGCCTTTAAATACCGCATATGTAAGTGAAAGGTATATTTTTAAATGGTCTTCCTTGTGTGTGTGTGTTTTTTAATAGACTAAAAACAATCGAAACAGGAAGCATCTCTTTAGTGACACAGATACGGACTACAAAGGTGATGACAGCAAGACAGACATTAGTTGGCTGCAAGAATCAAATAGAAAATCTAAACCACAGTTGGTTGATTACAGTAGAAGTAAAAACTTAGGGAAATCAATGAGCACAGAAAAAAGTAAGATTTATTTATATTCCTTAAGAATGATATATTAAATTTATCCACAGTTGCTAACTCTGCAGTGCATAATATGCTATTAAATATACAACATGTTTTTACTGTCTTACCTCCAGTCACAAGGAGTTTTAGAAATAGTTCTAATCATTTTTGAGTTGGAGTTGGGGGGCAGAGGAATTAGATTGTTTGTTTGTTTGTTCTTTTAAGAAAAAGCTTTTACTTCTTAAATAATGCACTGAAAGCAGTTTCAGGTTTGTGGAAATAAAGGTGACTCCATAGTCTTACTGCTAAAGTGTAAATGTCAAACATCTACCTTTTCTGCTGCTACTTCTAACACTGTTTATCTTAACAGCAGGTAAATTCCCTGAACCTCCATGCCAGGTTGATTTGTCTAAAGCAGAAAATATGAAAAAGGTGACTGTAACTTATAACTTAATAGATATTCAAAATAACTTACCAAAAAAATTGCTTTTTAAATTACTTTGCATAAGTATATGCAATTTCTCTATGCTTATTTCAGATTGTTTGCAAAATCCATTTAGGTCTTTTCAGGTAGTATATTCTTTTTTCTAGTATTTTAGTTTGTATTTCAATAATAATACTAGCTGGGAGTTACAGTGCTTATTGTAATTTGCTCATGGAAGTTTTATTATTTAGAAATATGATTATGACTACTTTCTCTTTAATAGTCACCTTCTCTGTTGAATATGTCATTAGTTTTTCAGTGAGGATTTTAATTTGGGTAATATGCTTAATTGCATTTAATAGCTTTGGGACTTGTTTTTTTTTGATGAATATATTTTTGCAAAGCATAATGTTAAGGATTAGATTAATAAAGATTAGTAATTGCAAAATATTGTAAGCTTATTGATTTAATAAAATACAACTGATTATGAACATCTTAATGGAAGATGCTTGTAAATGGTTGAAGGCCATAGTTTAAAATCAGAAAACAGCCTCTCCCCTTTTACAAAATCGGTTTAAGATTTGTCATAGTTACTCAAATCTATTTAATTTTAGTAATTTATATAAATACATATTATGAATACGAAGATGTGGTCACTCTCTGTGGTATCTAGTCCACATAAATCTAAACAGAATAGAATTTCAAACACTGAAGTTCCCAGTTTTGATTTACTCTTCCTACTAAATGTATCTCTGTACTGAATGTCACCAAACATGCTCATGCGAAGTGTCTGTTCTGGAAAGGTAGGGTTCCCCTGAGGCTGAGAAACACAACACAAATTTCCTTTCTTACATTGTTATTCAGGAGACAGGGAATATTGCTGCTATCCCTCCAACCTTACATTTCTGGTATTATACCTAGCATTTCTTGCTCTTTCCTCCAACAGTGTGTGGAAGGAGGTGCTCATCGAGCATTAAATTGTATAGATGACACTACCTCTCAGAGGTCTTTAGAAGGTATTTCCATCATTTTAGGTACTTCTTTGGAGAGACCTACGTGTTCTGCTGAGCTTGGATGTAATTATTTACGCAGATGAATTTTTTTATGCAAAATGAACTTCATCTGGAGTAGGGCAAAATTAAATGAGGAATTCCTATTTGTATTGAAAAGCTTTGTGACTGTTGTAGAACTGCCAACAGAGATCAATGGAAGTACTTGTACCTTAATAATCTCTATTCTATAACTTCCCATATAACTTCTTGACGTAATCTGCTGGTTTTCTAGGCTGTTTTGGGCCTTTTAATACCATAACTGGTACTTTTATTTGTTAGATTTGCTAAACTAGATCATTTTCATCTGGAGAATAAGGAAAACATTTTCACTAACGAATTAATCAGTATTATTTGCACAATATTATTTGCACAATAACTGAGAATGCGTTGTTTAGTTGTTTTGAAATACTGGATTCTAAGTAATTTTATACTTGCAGTTATTCTGATGTAAATTGAAGATGTTTTTACTCTTCCAAAGACAGGGAAATGTAAAAAGCAAAATGACAAAACTAGTGAAATGATAGAACAAACTACCAGACCAAAGCGTCCTCGAAAAGCTGCATTAGCAAAAAATTACAAGGAACCTTCGAGTTCAGAGTCAGAGAGTGAAAAATTGTCTTCACCATGCACCACTAAGAGAGAGAAATCAAAAGCACAGGTAAATAGTTGCACTGTATACCTAAAAATCGCCTTCTGAAGTGTCTCCGAAGTATATTCTGAAATTTGAGTGCAGAGCATGAACAAGTTGAACTGAATTTTCTGTAACGTTCAGTTTATGCTGCCCTCCTAGTCCTAACTATTACCCTAAACCTTAGATCTGATAATAGTAATTCACTTTCTATTTCTGATTTTTGTTCTGCTCCAAAGAACTACTATGTCCTTTACTTTAACACAGACATTTTTCAAACTGTTTTTATGGGAGATGCTAGTCAATGTAAAGGTAAGTTCTTTGAGAGCATAATGTGATTTTTGATCCCACTATACCTATTTTGATGTACAAAGATGTTTACTTCAGTGAGCTTGAGTATGTCCATATTGGTAAGTATCCAGCTTCTTAAAATTAATTTTATATACAAACTAACATCATAGGACTTAAACTTTAATATACATGGAAAAGTCTGTTAAATTCACTGGTTAGAAATTTGGATACCAAATTAAATATATTGAATACTTATTAACATTAGAACATCTGATATCCGTTTAATGTTCTTTCTTTTGGGGATCTTCTGTTTGATCAACAGTACACATAGATAATACATTTTTACCTATTTACACCCTTTCGTACATTCGAAAGTAATGTTTTTGTAAATGCTCTATTTCAATAGGAACATATAAATGGGCAAAAGAAAAATAAGAATCAGCAGAAGGAACTACAGAAAATTGTATCAGTGGAGCCAAAGAAAAAAGTAGAAGTCTATCCACATAAAGCATTTATTAAATCAAATAATTCCGTAAATCCAACAGAAATTGAAATGCCTTCATCTGAAAGTCCTACATCACTTGAGGCAATGAGATGTATGTATTTTGCTTGTAAGTTTTGGAGATACTTTATAGAAAGTCGGAGGTTAAATGAGGATTATCACAGTAACACGGTTTTATATTTATTTTATGGTTTTAAAGCATGAAATATCCTACAATTCAATGTGTATACCACATAATATAAGAAAATATGTTAAGATATCACTAACATTGTTACAGATTTGTAGAATTATTTGACATCGGCAAAGTGCAGAAGCACATTATGTAGGTGAAAGCAGGCTACTGGAATTCATCTGGTAGCTGCTGAAGTAGAGGATGCAGACAGTTTGCAGTATGGCAAAAAAGACCAATCATTCAGTAGAGTCAGATTTTGTGCACTGAGTCTTGTAAATGCCAAGAGCTTGGACGATTAACAATATTTGGCTTTAACATACTATTATTCCTTTCATTCCTCGTGCTCACAGTTAAATAACTGTTTTCTAGGTGCTGAAAGAATGTCAGAGGGTGATTTTACACAAGACCATCTATCTAGTGAAAGATCACCTGGGCTTCAAGAGTCCACACCAGAAAAAATGGAATCCTTGAACTTTGTGGAAGGAATCTCTCCACGCAATCTCTGTCCACAAAAAAAGAATACTCAAGCTATACATCTAAATCAGTCCCCTGGGGCTATTGGTCAAAAGTTAACCCTTGGAAATAAAAGTTTCTCATCTGTTCTAAATGCAGCATCTTTGGTAAGAATATCAAGCTACTCTTTTTTTTCAGAATTTCTTTTTAAATAAAGCTGTTCCATTCATCTGAGTCTTGAAATGGTTTTTGTTTTCCATCCATACGCTGGGCATAACTGACAAATTCAGTTGGAATTTCTACAAATAGAAAAAAGCTTGGCAGTTGCCTTGTGCAGATTCTTGGACAATATTCATAGTAGGACTTCTTTGTGGAAAAGAATCTTTATCTCAATTTCAGTGTATTCTAAATACTTCTTCTTCTTTTCATACTAAATATGCATTTTTCCTGCTGCTGCTATTTTTAATCTTTCAGTTAAATACAGTATTTCATTATTATTTCTTAATCTGTTAGCTGTAGTACACTTTCGTACATACTTTCTCAATTATGGTTTTGTTATCTGCTAATTTTTAGCTCAGCTTAACTCCAGTAAACACGTATAAAGCTCTTGGGGGAAAACATGCGGAGGGATCAGTATCTGAAACATGTGAAGCTAATGAAGATTCAAGTCTTAAGCTGTGCTCTTCAGAGAAACTTCCTCTTGAAGAAAAACTACAAGATATCACTAAACCTATCATCAGAAGTAAAGTAGTACGTTACTACATCCCTCACTTTTCTGGAAAGGGTTGCACCTTTTCCTATATTATATTCACTTTACAGTTGATCTCATTATCTTATATTAAATTTATTTTTCTATATTTATATCTTCTGCTTTATGGTATTATAAATCTGTCTTACATACTTAAACTTTTTTTTGTGTGGATAAAAAGAATTGAGTCTCATCAACACCAGTTATAATTAGTATGTTTGCAAATGATAATTGTCTTTTTGACTTTTACTAACAAACCAGTTTGTAAAGAATTATGACATTTTCATGCAGAAATTCTTAGAGTGGAAATGTGGTGTCATAGTGTTAAGGTACTTAATATAGAAGTTATTGTAATACTGGCAAATGAACTACTGTACCTTCATACCAATTTTCATGAATATTTATTATAGCAAAACACCAGCACTAATGACTCCTTTAAGAAATATTTTTTATTTTTAAACTAAGAAGAGATAGACTTTATTGGTTCCTTGACTCTTTGCTATCAGTACTTGTTAATGTGATGAAGGATTTATTTTTTCTTTTATATAGTAAGATTATTTAAAATTCATTTAGTATTTTTTTCCTTGCTCTGGTTGTGTGTGTAGATTAAAGCAGCATAAATATGGATTTCTGATGCAGACTTCTAAAGTGCGAAAGCTAATATGTGTTGACTTTTCTTTCAGGATTCTTTGCCTCTATCTCCGTTATCAAATTCCAGTGGAAGTAAAGTGCAGTCCTGGTGTGAAGAACCTTGTGGTCCCATACATGAGTCTGGTACAAATGTTTAATTTAACACAAAAGTCTTCCTATGTGTGTCTGTAATATTTAATAAAAGCATTTCTTTGGCATGCAAGCATAGCTCAAGTCTTTGAATCCTATTCTCTTTTATATTTTTTCATATTTTTATTCCTTTTCTGACTTGATACTGTTCTTTCACATCAATCTTAATGCTCTTTCACTTTTTTAAATACCTCCCACTATCTACATAAACTGAGAATCTGTCTTCAGCATACAGCGTCTTTCTACTATGAGTTAGATGGATCAAGAAGCACTTTCCCCGATAATGAAGCAGTGGGAAACTGGATTATTGGGAAAATACGACTTGGTATGAATTTTATTTAGGGAGCCAGTTTTGCATGGACCAGTGAGCTGCCTTTTCCCTTTGAATTTCATTGTTTATTTACTACAAGTACTCATACATGCCTTCTATAAATACAGTGCTCACTATTTCTTTTATATGGTTCTGGAACTTCAAAGCCAGGACACCTGCTCCTAGACTTTTGATATGAAGGGAAGAAAATCTCTTTTGGCTTTCAGTGCCTTTGTTTTAAGTAATCCTAAAAGTAAACATTGTCTTCTTGTTTATATTAAAGGTCCGACTGTATGTACGTTTCTCAAACGAAGGTACCACAGTGATACAGAAAGCAATTCTGATGAAGTAGAAGTAAAAAAACAGGAGGAAAAGAAAGGAAACAAAATAAAGATGCAGCCTAGAAAATTATTTAAACCAGATGATGATACTGCTTACAGAGGTTAGCTGTTGAGTTAAAGTTGATTTAAAGTGCAGTTATGCAAAAAATTAAAATAACTATGTTAAAGTATTCATTAAAAAGTAGCCATAAAAATTTACATATAAAATAATACCAACAGTAAGTACTTTAATTGTCTCTATTTAAAAAATCAGAAATGCAATGTGAAAATAGAAGCGTATCAGCCACTTACGTGGTGAAACTAAGCTTTATATTTTAATAGCAGCTTGGTGGTTCCTCGTATAAATACAGACAGGATGATGCTTTTTAACACTGAATTGTGACTTTTTTTTTTTTTAAAGTGTCTAAGAGCATATCTACTCTATCTGTAAATGATCTGCCTGTTTTGGATGGAGAGACTTGGGAATCTGGTTGTTCAACTATCAATATATGTCAGAAGCTCCAAGCAGAATTCACTAGAAAAATCCAGGCAAGGCGTTTCACATATAATATTAATTGTAGGTATAGGTGCATATAAATAATAACTTGTATTACAGAATTTGCTTTAAAGAATATGAATATAGCTAAGTGCCTATAGAAGCTATGAAGTTACAGACTTAGGACTCCTTTTAAACCTTTTTCAATTCCTGCTAGATAATGGCACTTTCATTTTGTGATTTGCCTTATTTTTTTATCTTCTCTTGCGAGAAGCAAGTTTATTTAGATAAAGTAATCAGTATACTGTGTTTTGGTGTTCAGTTGTTCAAACTTGTGACAAGTTTGTGAAACTTACAGAAAAGGAAGACTGAGCCCAAATAATGCTTTCACTCATGTAAGACAGCTGCAGACACACATCACATGCTAGGTTTCCTGAAAACAGAGAAAGCATACATTTGTTTTTCAAATAATTTGTATTCTATTTAAAATAGGATTTTCACCAACATATGAACTTATGTTTATTATTCTATCATTAATAAATAGCTTTTCCTAAAGGGTAACAGTGAGGATGACAGAGCCCTGGAACAGGCTGCCCAGAGAGGTTGTGGAGTCTCCTTCTCTGCAGATCTTCAAAACCCGCTTGGACGCAGTCCTGTGCCACGTGCTCTAGGTGACCCTGCGTGTGCAGGGATGTTGGACTAGATGACCTCTAGAGGTCCCTTCCAACCTTCAGCATTCTATGATTCTGTGATGAGATAATGTAATAAAGATTGGGTTTGCTCTGAACCACCTGTAATATTAAATAATTACAATGCTGAATATATTAATAGGTTTTCATTAAAGTGAAAATAATCTGACACTAATTCTAAAACATGTCCTTCTAGAGACGATCAAGGAAAATGGATCATTTTACTAAGCAATCATTAAGAGCTGCCCACCAGCATTTGGCAACAATGAGCTATCAGCTTCATGAATGCAGGTCTCTATCAAAAGATCAACTTTAAAATACGTTTTAGATGTAACAAATACCTTCTAAATGTAACTTTGTTTTGATAGGATCAGGCAGCTGGACAAATTTCATTTTGCTATCACTGAGGAGCTTGAGAATTTTGAGAAAGACTCTCAGTCTTTGAAAAATTTGGAAAAGGAATTTTCGGTTTGTACTCGATTTTATCATGGGGGGAAAAAAGGGGTTCGAGTATGGTATTTTTCCATATAATCTTTAAATTATTAATTCTGTCCTTGCTTCACAGGAAGCCATACATTAGGCATACATAATGTACCTATATACACTAAGTCAAATTTTTAAATAGTTTCTTTCGAATGTCAAGATTGGCTTATGCCATGCCCTTAGAATTTCTAGGCCACCATTATATATTTTTCTTTTTAGATGAAACTACTACTTTTAATGATCTGATTACACCATTTACTGAATATGTTTTATGTCAACACATGACTGGATTTTTTTTTTTCCTCTCAAGGCATGACTTGGTTTTTTTCTCACAGTACTTAAACAATATGATTAAAATGTCATGGATATTCTGTTCTGTAGTTTTGAAACTGTACTCATTACATGAAAACAAACCTCCTGAAGTTCCTTATCTTGCTGAAATAACTTTTTATGCTGGCCCACCCCCCTCTCTTTTTAAGCATTTGTGGCGACTCTATAATATCTATCCATTCTGTACTGAGCCTGTGATAGCAAGTTGATTTATTCATATTAGTTATTATTCAATTTCCATTTATAAAACCTTTTTTTCTACTGATTTTCTTTCTATATTTCTTGTTCTAGAACTTTTGGAAAAAACATGCACATACTTTTATTACATACATGAAAAATGAGCAGCAGAGGTTAGTAGACTTCATTAATGCTGGTTAGTGATTTTGTGTTCATTCAAGGCATGAACTGGGCCAAGGAATATTTTCTGTGTGATTGCTGTCCTCCATAAAGAAGAGATAACATTTATTAGAAATACAGAAGCTGTGTGAATTTAGAAATGTAATTAGTATCCATCTAAGTGTCTATGCATCTACTGCAATATTCCACAGTAATAATGATCATGATATTTATCCATGCTTTTAAGTACTAATATACTACATATGAAGGGATGCATGTTGTGCATGGTTTATCTACATGTAGCAAAGTAGTCTGAACTGCATTTTATTTCCGTAGAATTCAGATTCTTAAAACTTCATTTGAAAAAAACATCTACCATGCTCTTGATTATGAGGAACATATTTTTACTTCTGAGGTATGACAAGCTTTCATTTCTGTGTTGGTTTTGATCATTTTTTTATTTCATTTTGTGCCAGCAGATACTTTTTTTTTCCCCAAAGAATGTCTTTGTCCCCAGCACTATATTAATGCCTAGGTATTTGTGTAGTTTTTCATTATCATAAAATAGCCTTTAATGTAGCAGTGTTCAGCTTTTTGGGGCTAAATTTCACCCCTTAGAAGACTTGTGCAATTATTAGGAAAATTGCTGCAATGTTTATACTGTATTCTATGGCTTCATTTACCAATGTTAATCATCCAAGAAAGAACAAATTGGACACAAACCTCTCTTTCCTGGGGCTGGTGCATGCTTGTGCATCTCTTTCTCTGTCAGTTATAAACCATTTAGGGATGTAATTGCCTTGTTGAAAACATGTTAATGATTGTGAACAGGGAAAAAGCATTCAGTATATTTTATAGATGCATCTGATGAAAGAAGATATGAAAGGACTTCAAGAGAAGCTTCTTAAAGAAATGGTAAATGGAGTTAATATTCCTTTTTATTATTTTTAAGTAAGCATAGATGTTAGCATATTGACTTACTAAAAATTAGTTTTTCATGCATTATGGAAAGAGCAATTGAGATAAAATGTAGATATGGATATTTTATACTGGAAACTTATCTGATTGAGATAATTAAAATAGACATGGATATATTAGTTCTGGGTCTTAATATGCTGAATCTTAACAGGGAAAGGAAAAGTACCATATTTAAAGTATATTAATGTAACAGTATATGCCAGTATTATATTTTTAAAGGGATCTTATTTAAAATGTGTGATAAATAATGTTTTGTGCACAGCAAGAAGAGGAGCTCTTTAATGTTCGCAGAGGACTGCAGACACTATTTCTATCAGAAGACAGAAAGTTCTAATGTAATGATTTCAGATACTTTCCTGAAGTTCAAGGTGAATATAAACAGACTTTTTCTAAAAACGTAAAATTTAATGATTAGGGTTTTTTGGGAGGAGGGGAGGGTTGTTTTTGTTTTGTTTTGCTTTGTTTCGAATTTTACAATCAAATCAAACTATTGTAATGGAATAGTTCTCTCTGTGATTAAAATCTTTTGTAGATAAGATTTCTTCTGTTAGATTTGGGATTATTTTACTGAATTTGCTAAAATTTGCTAAAATATGCACATTTTTGGATTTTTAGCAAAGTGCTATTTTTGAAAGGGTCTTTTTTTTAGTTTATTTAACTGCCTTTCAGCTAAAAATAGTCTCTTGCAATCCATGTTTTGGGTCTGCGTATACAGAATGTCTTTTTCATCTGATTCAGAATATTGTCAGAAAGTCTAAGAGCTCTATCCTATTAATCTGTGGTATTAGACCTTCAGTAAGAGTTTCTAACAGAAAATAAAATTGTAAAGGGGATATCGTTGAACTGTGTTGCAAGTATCTGTATTAAATGTGTTAGGAAAAACTTACCTATCTTGTCTGTCTCCTTTTTGTACAACCATATCATTGTCATCTTGCTTTAAATCTGTAATAATTTTTGCATTCTAGTAACATAAAATCTATTTTTAGCAAGTACTTTGTGTATGACAACAGCTGGCAAGATGGCCTGATATCTGTAACTCAGAAATATATCCTATATACTAATATCTGTTCCATGTATCTAGACTCATAATTTACTCTTCTCCGTTGCTGTCAGGCAGTAACTAGGATGCTTCCACTGAATAGCTTAGACATGTAGTAGTCTTACTATTTGCATATAGTTTCAGTATTTTTATGTCTAAGACATGAAATATAATCTAATATTTCTCTATTTTTTAACATTACAAAAACCCAAACTATATAGTATTTCAAAGTTCTTCAGCAACCTTTTAGTCTTTATTTGCGATGCTGCAAATACTCTTCAATTTTTTCAGGTCTAGAACAATATCTTTAATATTTTTCATTTAATATTTAGGCTCTGTTAAAGAAATGAGGAAAGAGGGATTTACAGCTGATGAAGAGGAAGTAATGGTTGAGGAGACTAACTTAGAGAATGTGCATGTTTTAGAGCTTGTCTGCATGGTGCAGAGCTCCCTGTTTAGGATGACACTGACTCCAGGTAAACAACCCAGCATCTTAATATCTTGAGCTCAGGACTGCCCTAACAGAGCTTTTAAGGGGAGCCTGAAGAGGATGCTGCACACTCGTCTAACTCGTTTGATGACCACAGTTATCCAATTGCATTATCCAATTTCTGACTAACAGTTCCTCAGTTATGTTATAGCCTTTATTTTATAATTAAACTTTACAGCATATTTTGAGCCTTGGTTTCCTTGAACAAATGACCGAAGTATATATGATGTTAAATTAACCCCTCTACCCTCAGGACTTTTCCGTAATTTTTTGTTTGTTTGTTTTGAAAACATCCAGCAGATGTTTTCTGCCGAATCTCACCACTGTCTGCATCTTTGGTCATACTTAACAGTTTTTTTTTCCTTATTCTTTTTTTGGCTTCCCCATGCAATTTCTCTGTCCCATAAGTGGTCCATAAATCATGGACCTCCTGATGTGTCCTCCGTTATTTCCGGTAGCACCCACACAGTTTGTTCTCAGAGATGGGCCCTTTGAGCATGTGCTCACTTGCTGTCTCCACTAGATGGACCTCATGAGATGATAAAGATCTCTTACTGGTTTAAATTGTTTTGTTCAACTCTATATGAAAACTACTGTTTGCCCTTATCTGTGCAAGCTTTTAAAAAGTGCACTCAATTTCTTTTCTTACTGTTTACGCTATATTGGAAAAATAATACAGCTACTATTTTTAGGAAGGTGTCATGATGAAGTGGAGGAATGCAATTGCACTGTCCAGCCATAAGTCTTTACCCTAGCACCTTTAATTTATAAAGACATTGACCAGATGCAACAAAGCTGGAAGAGATGAAGCCTTTGTAAAATTTTACTGTTGAAAATCTTTTTAAATGATAGTATCTGAAACTGTTGCAGAGATTTTTTTTTCTCTTAAAACCATTCCGTTTAATTGCTGTCTCATGAGAAACAATTACCAATGATCATTGCATTTCTTCTATTTTTTTTTTACTTCTAGAAATATTTTGATCAGTACACTCAAATGCTTCTGGATGTCAAGCATTATTACAACGTCTTGCTTTGCAGTTTTCTTATCAAACCCTATATGCTTTGTTATTCTCACAGAGTAACTTCTCTTGCCTTCAAGAAATCCTTAAACTGTATATACACTTTTGCACATGCAGGAACTTGTTTGCTAAACATGAAAATATATTTTTACCTTAGTTCATCTGTGGTTGTCAGATTTAGTAGTTTCTAATGGCAATGGCAGTGAATTTAATTGTCCATTAGAGAACCAGATAAATGCTAGTATAAAGAGCTAGTATAAATTGACAGGTTAAACTGTTTAGGATCTTTTCCAAAACATCCAATATTCTGCCGGATGGGACTCTTTATTCTTTTGAAGACTCTGTGTGTTGGTAAAGAAGCAATATGATCTGGTACATACAAATTGCAATCTCTTCCTTTCCCAACAGTCCCCGGAAAAAAAAGAGCTTAAAGAAATGTGTTCATTTCCTGCAATAAGTAGTCATTTAATTAAAGAACAAAAGTAACAGGAATCAAAAATGCTTGCAGCTGTGTTTGTTAGACATTATATAAAAAAGAATGAAATTATAATACATTAAATTAGTTTTTAGGACATGAACTTAAGTGTTTTACAAACTAATCGTGGTAAGTTTAAAATGTCTTGTCAACGTAATACTGAATGACAGTATGTCATGTCCATTTATGTCAGAGGCCTTGGAATGGTAAAGCCTGTACATGCACAACCTCTCCTTTTCCAGATTGACTGCAAAACAGTTTAAAACAAATGTTAAAGGAGAGTAGTAGGTTCCTCCAAGCAGCTTTACTCCAGTCTTTTTCAGCAGATCCTCCCACTCCACAGGCCATCACTCTTCTGGCTTCAGAGTGAAGTACATCTTCTGGTTTTTCCATCTCTGAATGCTGCAGAGGTTTCATCTGCAGAGTCCTTCTTTCACACAACATCAAGGTATCCTGGACTGAACGTTAGGGAAAAACTTCTGTATTCCCTGATACGTGTTCAGCAGCAGTATCAAAAAGTAAAGACAGATTCTTCTCAGAAGAAAATTTCTATGGCCTGTGAAATCTAGGAGAAATGAAGAGACATTTTTCAAATCACTTTGAAATTTTCAAAAAATAGAATTCATAAAGAAAATTAATGTTCCATTAACAAAAATAGTGCTTCTTTAGAACGATTATGGTCGGAAAAGACCTTCAAGATAATCAAGTGCGTCTGGAAGCATTCTGTTTAAATGTCATTAACAGTATAAATGTATTTTTTCACTTGCATGTCACAGCTATAGTTCAGTTACAGTCCTCGGGCTCCAGTTTGCAATTAGTTTAGAGTGCAAATGCAACTGTATGTGCAGGGATTTGTTTTTATGTTTATTTTTGGAATTAGGCCGCAGTTTGTTATTGTTTGTAGTAATATCTATTGTGCCATGATCATTGAATTAAGCAATGTTGAGCTGATGCTTTGGAAGATATGAAGTACTGTTGGTTTAATATGTATTCTTTTCTTAGATTTTGTCTGGAACTATAGCACTGTTGCTCTGAAGGCTTGTTTTCCTGGCTGAGATACGTAATTAAAGTCCCAACCATTTGCAGTATAAATTGACTAGTTGTAAATTGTAAACACTAGTTGTAAATTGTAAGGCTATCTAATTCTAATGTCTGGACCAAATTCTGTTTTAATCCACTTAATTGAAATTACCTGAGGAGTTTAATTGAATAAGGTACCTTTCACTTCTGCACTTAATATGCAGCCAACCTTTTTTTCCTGTATTTCTTTCTAGTCTAGTGATATTTTTGTCATAAATATTGAACTTCTTCCTTATAATGTCAAAAGAACCCTGGCAACTGCATTGACAATCTAGAATTAATTATAACATTTAGATTAACCTACATCGACTCTAGGTTATTTGCCTAGATCATCCATTTGTTAAGCATCCAAAGCTTGGTTAGAATCGGCTTCATTCCATGTTCAGAAACGAACATGGAAATAGGGGCCTCAAGTGTGGCTGAAGTTTAACCTTGCAGAACATGAGACTGGACACCAAGTTTTTAGTATAATGTTAGGTAGCTTATTTTAATAGCAAGCCCACCCAAGAGGGCTCACATATATGGGAAGAGTGGTCTGTGCTCCTAATGGCTCCTAAAATTATGTTTTAAGAGCAACTGGACTAACTAAGGGGACCTAATAGAAATTATAGGAAATAATTGATTGTTATTTGAATACTTCTTTTGTGTAAGTAACAAGGTCGTTGTACGAGTTACTTCAATGCTTATGGAATCAGCTCTGCAATTTTTTCCTCTTTCAAAATCCCGGTAGTTTCATGCTTGTTAGGATTGTGCATTTGGATTTCCACAGGCAGTAGCTGTGATCAGTGTTGGGACTTTCTACAAGTGCTAGATTCACACCTACCTTCGTGGTGGCCAATCTTTCAGAGAGCAACAAGTGTCCAAGCCAGCATTCCCTCTGCTAGACTGCTATTGAAAAATCTGGGGGTTTGCACTCCTCTTAACTGGACCAACATTCAAGTGCTACTAAAAGCTACAGGCTGAATTCACTAGAGCAGATCTATTAGGTATTATTAGCATCTATTAGTAGATACTAATCTAAGCAAAACAATTCAGAAAACGATATTCTGAATGGAGAAAGAAGTGCTTCCATTCACTTCTAAAATAAAGCTTCCTGTGCATATTCTGTTCCTACTTCAACATGTGAGAACAAAATCTGCATATTCAAAACTCAGAGTTTTTTAGAAGGCAATGGAAATAAATAGCTGGAAAACTTACCTTGTCAAATGTTTGCTTGATGCATGTACCTCCATTTCATTACTCTTGTATTCATTTAGCTCTTTACGAATTGC